ATAAGGTCACCGGTTCGAATCCGCGTAGGGGTGGGCGTCCTCGCGGTATACTCAGCCCGCGCGCGACTAGTGGTGGTCGCGCTGGCAGCAAAGCGCCGTTACGGCGTACAGTCGACACATTATTTTTTATTTATTTATTAATTATTACGGGAATTTCTGGGCTGAACTTCTAACTACAAATAGAGCTTCTCAGCACAACCCCATCTTTATCATCAATCTCCTGCTCAAAATTGTAACGAATGACCGCCGTTTTCTGCTTCTTCGGAGATGCTGATTCATTTACTACTGCCGCCCAACTTCCAAAGATCGCATTAGCTGCTGCATACAGTCGATCTCCACTATACTTTCTTGGTCCACCAGCATAGTCCGCGTCAGCTGCAGCCATGCTGGCTTCTGTCCTCTGTATCCACTTCAGTACAGCATCTAGTAATATCCTGCAATGAAACACTCCATACCAGGACACACTGTCGAATTTTCGTTGGCTGTTTTCAACGTTTTTATCCCATGACATGTAATTCAGTAGACTACATTTGCACGTACACGGGACCATCCACAGGTGTCAGTACCTGTTGCGTCACAGAAATTATGATCCACAGCTCCCAGTCGTTTACCAAGCGAACTGGGTGTCATTTATTTACTCCGGAAATGCTGACGTACTAATAGACAGTCACTTTCGCGTAGATATCGTTCTCATGAGCATAATCACCACTGATGGTTTGGCAACGTCAACTAAGGTCGGTGTACAGGGCAGCGCCTGATGCCGCTTGTTACTCTCCATCTGGCTTCAGTCTCGATGTTTCCAAAAATGTCCTCTAGTCTAAGATTTGCTCGCTTCCGCTGGACGCACTCAGCTGAGGTCCATGCGATGGCACACTTTCATTTGTCCTGGTCATTACGAGGCGTAGCACACGACATCCACTACCGTCTTGTTTACTGTCTTCTTCCAGCTGAACTGTCTGTTGTAGGTGTATTTGTTAATAGCGCGGAGACGTGAATCACCCCATGGTAGTTGCCTACCTGATACCACCTTGACCCGGTACCCGACTGTTTGTGTCCTCGCGGTATTGGCCGGGTTTAAAAGCTTAGTGAATTCAGGTCTCACGTTGATCCATTTCGCTTGTTTCATTATTCTCCGTCAGTAGGTTCAGCACTCAATTTGTGCTCGTATGCAAACGACGCACCGGTACAATGACTAAGGTAGTGCTTTTTCCGATGGATTCAGGCAATTCCGAGATAATGGCAATTTGTGGTCTCGTATGTTTGGATGAGTTGGAGCCAGTAGTGTGAATTTGCCGACCGTAAGGCATCTATAACAGCACTTGTCCAGCTCCCTTGACGTATGTTACAGGATATGCCACCCGCTTGTTTGTATAATGCAGAATTTCTCATTTTATTCAACTGTTAGGCATGTGCAATAAGAGGATGACAAATCACCGATGTACCTCTTTATTACTGCCTCGTCCATAGGCCTAACAACAATCGGCACATCTACTTATGCAATAGTAGCTGCCACCAAAAGAAAAACTCAACGGATTGTGTATCCGGTCTGCGGGCGTTCCTGCAACCCGATTGATGGTAAAACGTCGATGTGTGTTGATTCTATTGCCGTTGTTGATTCCCCTTATTCTCACCTAATTGTTTCTCTCCACCACTACTTGTCTAGCCCTCTTTCGGGCTTTCTTCCTTGTCCTCTTTAGCTATATCACGTGGTTGTGGTATGAACATCTAACAGCCTACGAGCTGTTTATTTTGTTTTACAGATCCAAGGGTCTTTTATCTCAACATGCTTTCACTTTTGGACGCGGAAGAGCTTGTAGTGCCGGACTGAAGGATAAGTACACACTGATTGCATTAGTGAAGTGTTCTCGCTGTATCCAGACCAGCTTGATGCTGAAAATCATCTCATCTGCAAATGTGACAGCGCATTGCGATTTTTTATTTTGACTGCTTTGACAAATCTAAGCGGTACGACTCTACAGCACTCAGTATATCACTTCGAACAGCGCACTGGATTTGATCCAGTCACATATGATCATTGCGTGCTTGCATGTAACGTACACTAGCACTTCGCTTCACAAGTACAAAGGACCGTGCGCTTTCATGTTGCATGTTCTCAGGGGCGTGTTCATTCTGAAATTTGATATCCAGGTATTTCTGCTTACGGAACTGATTTCGAGTTCACACGTTGATTGGTGTGCAAGACGCGAGTTAGCTTCACTTTACCAAGTTTCCATTGCGTTTTCTTACAAACGGCAACCTCAGCGTTTTTTCAGGTAGCACACGCAACTTTGAACTGTGTGATAAATCCAACGTTTAACCGCTGTGATTTACCATTTTCGAGTGGTGAAATGCTCACTTCTTTCCTCTTCCTCTTAAAGCGTACTCTTTCTGTGCCTATTCTCTCGTGCGCACAACGACATTTCTAGCATAGTATCGTCTCACTGTGATCATGTGTTTGACTAGCATTTCTGATTCCACTGAAGGAAATTGTTCGCACATTTTACATATTGGCACCATTTAACTCTCTTTGTCGACATCACTCATCCTTCTTTCAATTTAGTCAAAGTCGGTTATGTTAAGTGCCTACAATGTGGCGTTTTCATTCACCTTGCTTCCAGTGTCAAGGAATTAATAACTATCCACGACGAAAAGAGCAGAGAGTAGAACAGTGACTGAGAAAAGATCATAGTGAAGATTGTCGTGGAGAGTACTTTGAATTACCCGTTGTGTTGTTGCTTTGCAATCACAATCTCAATCCGGACCGTGATTCACTTTGAAGGCACTATCAGGTACTTCGATCATCCCCATGCTTATACTGGCTCGCCTGGTCGTAACGAACAATACGGTCCCTGGAAATTCTATCCCCGAACTAACTTCACCGAACTGTTTCCCACGCACGGGACTCAAATGCTCGCCACAGACATGCCCAAGCCCGGGGAAGAGTAAAAAGAGTCCCTCGGCAGGGTGCTTTTACGACGGTTCAAGATGCGATGCTGGCAACATACTACTGTGTTCAATAAAACCGAGCTTTTGTACTAGCATGCAAACCGACAGAGGGATCGCGTTGTGGCTATTGGTGGTACGTAGGTGCTTGTTTGAACAATACCGTTTGCCGCGTTTCGCTCTCACCGTTAGTTGGCGTGGCCTTGGTAGCTACAGCGCGCTTTCTCTGCTGGTTGGCGCGTTATTTCAAAATTTCGGTTCCTTTTTGAACACAGTAGTATATGAGCTCCACATAGAGCAGTTTTCACATTCTAACACGGGGCTGCGGGGGCGCGATGGACGTGCGAGCTCACATGAAGCAGAGTTTCTGCATCAAGCGTGACTAATTGGACGCGTGGCTTTTTTGGACTTCGTTTGTGCAACCTCGTGGGGTGCCATGCGTTCTCCATAACACAGCCTAAAACTTATAAATGCTGAACGTTGCCCGCTCGCAACACGGTGCTCCGCAACCGAGGATGACAATTCTGGCTGGATGTCAGCGCGTAGATGTCATCGGCTGGCATTTTTTCTCCTATGCCACCGAACATCGGCAGTCAACTCTTGTGTTACAAGGAGCACTGATTCATTGCTGGTTGGTTTGCAACATCCACTGTAAGGTCTTTCACTGTTACCGTATGTGTAGTGTGGTATTGTTTTATGGATGAATTGTAATCGACTCGCCGTTCTACAGCCTTTATTTGAAGGCTGAAAACGAGCGCAAAACTGACAGTGGAATGCGGTGTTGCGCACGATAACACACAACATTTATTTATTGGGAAACGTCAGAACCGTCGCAAAGGATGAGTAACGGTAGAAAGAGGCGGTGTCCCATTGCGAATCGTGTACTCGTTTTTCTACCCCGTATATTGCATAAACCAAGGTCCACTTTATTAAGCCGACCACTTAAGTAATCTCCAATCAGTAGCAACTTCATCACAGCGGCTTTCAAGTCAGATAATCCTCCACGTGCTAGGAAAAGCACTAAACGGCCGTTTCGACCCGCTGGTTCTCGTCCTAGTGCGCACCTATTGGATCCATCAGGACTCGAACCTGTGATCACCAACGGTTTGAACCGCTAGCCGTAACCTTATGGCACTGAGCCATGGGTGACCGTGGCGAACCGTCATGACTTGCAAGCTAACTGTGACATAGGGCGATTCATCTTCTACTGCCATACAATTTGTGAACGTTACAGAGGACAGGGTTGGTCTCGAGAGACACAACCTTCACTAAAGGTAGCTACGGGTTCGGGTTCTGATGAATAAAATGGATGTGCACTGCTGATGAGGCCCTACAGGTCGAATTGGCTTGCTACTTTTCCGGGCATTTGGAGGACTACCTGATTTGAAAACTGTTGCAACGGACATTCCGTATTCTCTGATCAGTTAACTGAAGCACATCCAGTAGATCAAAAATCGTTTATCTCGAACTTCGACAGACGGTCCACCCAGTTTTCCATTCACGATGTTGTAGCTACATTCAGAAGTTACGTTTCCGCATTGCATTGGTTGCGTACTCGAAAACTTCATCACCTATTTCATCTGGTCACCGATGCTTCGCTTCCATGATTCTTGTCATTTCGGTCCGTCTGATATTCACAAAAATAGCAAACCAAATTTTCACACCATGCGTTCGGCTCTTCCGCCAAGCAGTCCCGTCAACCCACCTAGTACCTTATCTTTTTACCGATGATCTTTCATTTTAATCTCTCCAGTCAGCCATCGCAGCATTTCCGTTATTTGGCGCTATGTCAGTGTTCCGTCCAATGGACATTTTCCTCACGTCTGCTTTATTTTTGACTACCCAGTGCGAAATCCAACCGCATTTGTATCGCATTCCAATCGTCGGACATTTTAGTTACCCCATTTGCATTTTTAATTTATCTTATCCACCTGTGACCGACGTTCTGTACAATTACGCACTTACCCGATCATGCCGACAGGCGTGCATCTCATCACCGAAAATGAGCTGTTATCTATTTACTTATCCATAACATTTCATTTTTTCCTGTTCTTCAGCTTTCGCATTTGTTCATGATCGGCTCTCCACTCGGACTGTTTATTTCACTCAACAGCGTCCCTGCGAAATACCATTTTTCACAGCAGGTCTCTTCTTCTGCCTCTGTTCAACCAGTCGTCTCCACACCCCACAGCAAACGACGTACCAGACACCATAGTCATTCCGAGCGAATATCGACTGCAAGTCCCGTCGAAACCCCTGAAAAAGAGGCTCTTGATTTGGGACAAACTGATCCCGATGTTCTGATTCCTTATTTCGCGTGCCGCCGTATCTACAACATTTTTCACTCCTACGACCCCATCGTAAGTTGACCCGTTAGATTTCACCTCATTGGAGGCCGGCAGTTAACGGTTACCTGCATTGCTACAGTTTTCACATTGAATCCCAGTGTTTGCACCTGCTTCTATTACTCAACCAACCCATCCGATTACTACAACCGTTAACTGCACACAAGGTTTTCCATTTACGAATTTCAGAATAGGAAGAATGAACTACATGTAAACTAACACATCGTATATTCTCTTCCGCTGTTTGGATATCATATGTGAGGACTAAGTTGCATACAAAATAGTCAGCACACATCATTGATGAGGTCACAGGTGTCAAAGGATGTTTGCTTTTGGTCTGCGTTTCTTTAGAGGGGAGCGATCAACCTCACTCTGCTATAACAAGTTAGGTGATCGCTTTACCTCAAACCGAGTGCGTGACAGAGTGAGACATCGCTTATCGTGATTTCACTAACATATGAAATCAGTTCAGGGTAGAGAATTCCATTCGGTAAACTCTCATCAGATCCAAACTGATTGTGTGAAAAGCGTCAAATCGTGCTGGGATTGACTTCTAGGCTGTTTAAACGATCATAATCGATAACCTGCGACAGGGATACAGATGATGATCCAACTGAACTAAAGGGATATGCGTACACAAACCTCAGTAGTTCGAAGTAGATTGATGAGCTATCAACCAAATAACTAAGTAACAGTGTCTGTTGGCCATGATAGTAGTATCGGCTATATGAATCTTTTGCACATATAATTTCCGCTTCAGATTGTGGATGTAAATAGCCCCGGCACTTGTTAAAAACTGCTATCAGAATCCTTGCGGGAAGTGTTCAGGCCGCGAACAGGTGCTTTTCTCATTCTCAGAAGCTGTATGGTCACAGTCAAGGAGGTGCGACATGATTGAGCTATTTGAGGACCTCATCTCGCCTCTGTTAAACCAGGCCGGGATGTGCTCACGAATTCTCTGCGATTAAACACCTCGTAGTGCGACCCACGTATTGTGCGCCACAGGAACACGAATACTGATAAACGATCATTGAACTGGTCAACGAGGGCAGTCTATCTTTCAAGGGTTTTGTAAGCAGTGTCTTGTTGTAATAAGCAGTACTCAAGCGGGCTGCGAAATAATTTTTCTCAACAGCATCTTTCAGGTGTCAATGTAAGTTATCTGCAAAGTCGCCCTTAACTGGCAAATGTACGCAATATTATTTTAGGAGCAGTGCTCCTAAGTGGCTTTCCATTGCGTTCTTTCAAATGCCTCATGGTCAATTCATCGGGGCAACCACTTTCCTTAAGGGCGTCGCTGATTCTGTACTTCTTCGTGGACGGTATCTGATGTGCAAATACTACGCGCCCTGAAGGCAGCAGATCTGATTAAACTCCTCTTATGCTGTAGCGGGGCTGCGCCATGGAAGTTAGTGTACTTCCCAGTCTTTGTGTGCTTTCTGTGTACCTTCCTTCTACAAAGTCCGTGGAGTTACAGACAATTTCTACATCCAGGAAAGGGAACCGGTTTCCGAATGCCTTTTCACAGGTGAAACGGAGCTTCTCGTAAGCGTCATTAAAAGCTTTCAACTGCATGCTTTTCGGATTTGCAAAACACGTAGATGTCATCAATAGACCGCAGGTACATTTCAGTCCCACTAATGTGCGTTGTAAGTGAGCCAAGTTCTAATTTCGCCATAAAAACATCAGCCTGCATCGGACCCAAAGAGATCCTATGGCCACTCCGTCAATCTGATGGTACATTTCGCCATTGAAGATGAACTGAACATTTAACGTGCAGCGAAATAGTACCTCCTTTCGCAAATTCTCCCGGAGAAATTGCATATATGGGTAATTGCCGAGCCAGTTCGCATACGTAATCCACAGTTTCGAGCAATGGAATGTTTGTGAATAGCGACTGGGCTCGAATAATATCATCCTTTTGTTGTTAAAGTGACTTCAGCTATCTTCTCAATAAATTCGAAGGTGTCTCTCACTGAGTAATTGCAAGCCATATTCCGTAATGGTTACAGCTTCGCCACCATCCATTGGGCCAACAAATGCTGAGGAGAACCCACTGTCAAGTGGCTCTCCGTTCATCAAAAAGTCTGTCTGGGCCTCGATCAGAAATTCATTATTCATAGAACACAAACTCATTTTATATCTTGGGTCAGTCAACTCACTCAACTCTCGAATCAATCGCTCACAGATGCAGAACAAATCTCCTTCCTATTACTTTCTCGGCCAGCGTTCGAGCTTCGTTCAATGTCGATCCCAATCGATTACGTGCTATTTTTCAGTTCGCCACTGCAGCGACCCACCAACTTTCAGACTGTTGGCCCAAAATCGTTAAGCTCGACCGGTTGCTATGCAACGCGCATCTAAATGTAGTGTCTTACCATCACACCCACCATGTCCATAATTGAGCGCATTGGAGCGCCTTCTCTGTGGATTTTGGGTAGGCCATATAATCTCGTAGGTATCCTCCAGCTTTTCGAATTCGTTCTTTGTGACAACTTTGGCTTGCATCATTCGCTTGAGGCAGCCGGTTAACTGTTTCTCTAACTCCCCCGTGTTGTCCTTTCCTGCCACAAGCCACTGGAACTTACGTTCGTCACTGAGGATGTGCTGCATTTTACGGCTATAATCCACCCTCTCCATTAGCCCTATGCCGGAATCCTTCTTTGGCTTAGAGATTACTAATTCATTGTTTAACCGTTACTCTTTAAGCGACTGCATTTGTTCCCTAGTAATAATACTATTACTATATGGTTTAGCCTTAATGTATTCCTGGCTGCTATTAAATGGGCTAGATTTTGGGCTCTCGACGTTACGGGATGAGGTTGGAAGCAGTTCGTTAGTCTTCTCCATTAGGACCTCAATATGCACCTCTAAAGCCGCCTGATCCGTTTTTTACGTAGAATGTAAAACTTTGAACTTGATAATAACCCATCCAGCTGTGTCAGGCTTAGTACTACACTGGAAAGGTTAAACACATACCGTTCCGGGTTATTTGGAAATGTCAACTGCGCGACCTGGCTATTAAGCATACTACTTTCACTCTCAGTTTAACCAATTCCACAAAAGGCTGTCTCAAGTCTGATGAGAGTTTGCTGAAAAGACTTCTGACTTTTGATCTTGCTTCATATTAATGGAATGGGAATATTTGCTTTGCCGAAGACAAGCATTGCCCGTGATTCATTGAAACTACACCAACAATAACTACTGAAATTGTTGCTGCCGATTGAACTGCTTGACGTTGGTTCCTTTTACCCGCCTTACTGATGCTTACATAACTCGTCCTGTGCTTTGCTCTGGACGTTAAAGAACGTCTCGCAGCCCAACACAGTGGCTTGTCTGCTGTCGTTTAACCGGGCTGCTTTCTTAGTCTCCGCATACTACTAGCTTCTCCGCGGTGCAATGATCTTATGTCACGAGATACCGAGTTACACAGGAGTCCTCTGAAACTAATTTGAAATACTTGTAACCCGGATGGATTTTTTCAGTCTTTCGTGCTTTTCCACTTGGCAGTTAGTTGCAACCGTGGTATCATCATCGGTACGTTGGTGTGTAGCGGGTAATCTCAGTAACAAACCGATGACGTCACCTTTGATGATAAGGCGTTCGTGACAAATTATCCAACTCGGCGAACCATCTGGTGAGTCCACTCGCAGATGCCACCTTATGTTCGCGCGATTTCCAACCGTTTGTATTCCTCTATGATTGCATATGTGTGGGCGCCCGTATCCCGAATATTTGTGTAGAGGGCATCTAGATTTGACGCTAGGCCTCTCCTCTTTATTGGAGGCACTATGGCTGAATGGTATCCCACCAGTGCGACAGAGCACTGAGTAACTACCGTTGACACTGATGGTACTCCAGCTTGCATTTCATTTTGTGTGTAACCACAGATTGTACGTAGGCGGCGGCTACAGCGGAAACGCGAAATGATCGAATATGAGACATTATTTCAAATACTGTTCCTCCTGGTTGTTTTGTACTTGCGGCAACAGTAATGCCATGATGCAAAATTGGGTTTGAAGAACCTGCTGTGGGGGGCTGGATTACCATACACAATCACTGTTAAGACCTCGGTTCACTTTGGAGTCGATCTCTCGGTCATTCCGATAACAAGGATGGTATCCGAAATGGAGGTGTTTCATTGTTGCTCCATCCAACATTGACACCCATGACCACGGTTTCGTCCTCGTTTGGACTCATCAAATGAAGATAGCCTGAGCTGGAATTGGAATTCAGGGCGTGACGACTAACGGCCATGGTCTTGATTACTATACCACTGTGATCCTTGAGCAACGCTTGACACAGCGGTAACGAATTCAAAGTTGGATTTGGAGTACCTACCGTGTGCTTGAATTGCGACGCGCTATCTCTCTTGAGATCTCCGTTCACTTTGAGGTTGACCTCGCTCATTCCAATCACCAGGACCGTATCCGAAGTGTTGCTTTTCCAAACACTGACAGTTCTTGACCGGTTCCGTTCTCGTTTATACATCAGAACCAAATCGCCGGAGTTATGAGGTTTTCACTCCTGAATGCGACAGCAAACATTATTGTTCGATCAACAATTTGGTGGGATCCCATGATCCGCATTTGTCCGCCCTTCCATCTTGCATGTGTACTGCATTACAAATGCCGCTTCATTAGATCTGAGTTTATGGTGCGTGTACACAAGCAAATGTGAATTATTTGTATGGTCTGAATTCGCTATTGCGCAAAATCAACATTAGTTTGAAGGCGCTTAGATCGTTGCATCTTCGTTTTCACATATATCAACACCTTTGGTTAACTGGATGTGTTATCCAGTCTAGCTGCTCTGCTCGGTTCGGCACCATAAGCTTGATGCATCGTTGCACGGCTAAACCGATCGTATGCGCGTTGTTTGCCGACAGAGCATGGGCCACCTGCGTTTTCATTGATCGATTCGCACTGCGTTTTGACGGATTCCCTATTGGTATGCTTTTTTCTGGCTGACGTCGCCTTTTGCAACCTGCAGGTCTGATTAATTCCTTGTCACAAGTTGACTACTTTGTGCGTCTCTACTGAAGCTGTTTCTGATGGTTGGGGATTAGAAGGAGGAGGATTCATCATTACCCGACTCACACAGTTGCCAATTACACATCCGAAAATGCACTACACGGCCGTTCCATCCTTACGAGAATCGTCAGCAGTACTCGTTCCACCGGGTCCCTGTGGGGCTAGAACCCGCAACCCGACGCTTACCAGCCCGTGGTTAAGAACAGTGAACTACGGGGAACGGCAACAACCGATATGACTAAGCTGTTAACTTTGAAGTAATGCCGCTCACTATCCATTGAATTACACGTTGCTGTCGTGCAGAAGACAGGGTAGTATTTTATGCTCGTATCGTTTATGTGCATTCAAATCAAGCCTGCTTTCTTTGCATGGTAAGAGGGTTTAATTCCTTCAGATCCAGTTCATCGCAGCCTGATTCATTCAGGAGGTCATCGGAATTCCGCTTCCCTCCTACCATGCCTTTGCAACAAATAACCTGCCTAGACCAGTTTGCAGCGTTACAGGGGTTGTGGAGAGATAATTCACAAAGATCCTCCCTCGCGTCTCCAGCCGCACCTACACTGTGTGAACGTGCATTACATTGGATCGCAAGCCCTCGTAATCCGATGGCATGGGTTCGAGCCTGCGTAGGGAACAGGCCACCCTCGCAGTATCTTTAGCCCACGTGTGACTGATCGTGGTTGCGCCGCAGCGAAGCGTCGTAACTGCGTGCCGGTGTACTGCTCATGGCTTTTTGCCTTTTATATTTTAGGGTGCATCGCACTGTTTGACATGTAACTAGCCATTCTTCATATTGTTGGCTGTCGCTCGCCTTATTGTATTGTCTTGCATCTGATGGTGATTCATGTATCGTAGTCTCGAATTCTTTACCAGTCCAAGAGTTTGCATACTATCGAGCGGTCCCAAAACCCAAACTGACTCTCCTCATCTTTTCCGGATTGTGTTCATTCTCCGTTTGTGATAATTCTAAAGAAACGTTTTAACAGGCTAAAAACGATTTGCATGTTGCTGTGATAAATGATTATTCCGTTTCAACCCGTTCATTTTATCACATCAAACGATTATCATGAAATCCTAGCCCTTTTGCTTTGTTTACCTGTTTTCCGCCCGTTTTGCCATGTCTTCAATCGTCATCTGGATGTTTTCAATGAGCTTGTATATGTGCGCGATCTCGCTTCAGGCATACCGACTGGAGCCGTTGCTGCTCCGGCACTATTCCCATGTCAACCCGGTTGTGCTCCCCACTGTGAACAGTTTCTTCAAGGAAAAACACAGGCGACCCAGCACTGCATCGTCATCGATGCGTCTCGGATCTTCGCATCCAAACTCCTCCTCTTTAGCCGATTTGTCTATCCTCGAATCGACGAATTCCCACATGAACGAAGAGTACGAATCGAGCACTGGGACTTCGGAGGAGGAAAGTCGCATGTCAGAAGCGGATTATCCTAGAAAAGTAAGTTTCTTGTCGGTCGCATTGCTTTCACAGAAATCAGGGACTTGATGTAGAACTGACACTTGTCCCATTGAATCTATATCTACCATGCTTTATGCCATTTTCGGAGATGTTACCAGTCGTGTCCATGTATGAACTAATGACTTCTCTATCGGAATTCGTCGTCGTTATCGACAGCATCATCACCACCAATAGAACAGTGGTATTGTGAGGGTAAAAAGCTGTGCTTGATAAGTCCCGTAGGAGACGGCCTGCGTGAAATGTATATGCTTAGAAAAAAATTTCTATACAAGTAAACTGTGCATCTGTGGACTCACCACCATTTTCACCTTAACACTCGTGTACATTCGCCTACCCCGATTTCGTGAGGGCTGAGGATCGCAGTTTTTGTTTGCTTTGAGGTGCTACCTCGGGAACGGCTAGTTGTTCTTGTTTATGCGGACGATATCGTCTTACTGTTTAACGGTGTTGGGCCGGCCCAATCAACCCTGAATAACCTCTGCAGAGTGATTCCACTATTTGGTATACGCTTCGCACCTTCAAAATGTAAAGCATTGCCGCACGACCACCAGCCACTTGATGATCCCTTGACCCTAGATAGCGAGGAACTCGTTGTAGTTCATCAGTTCACTCGCCTTGGCAATTGCATTAGCAACGATGGGCGCATGGCAACTGAAATCAATTCACTTACTACAAAAGCTAGAACTGCCATTTTGAAACTGCGACATTTTTGGGAACAGGAAGGGGATTCCCTCCGTTTGTATTGCCGTGTTTACATGACCACAGTGAGGTCCGTCCTCAGATCTGAGGACCTGCGGTGCCTCCAACTCTTTGGTCATCGCTGATTGCGAAGCATTGCTGTTGTCGGGTGGCACCAGCGTGTCCACGACGATGATGTGCGTAGACAATTGCTAGTCCCTTAGAATGACAGGTAGCACAGAATAAGTTGCGTTGGCTTGGACACGTACTACCTACGCCTGCTCGCCGCTTACCGAGGAGGGCCTTGTTTAGTCTGCAAGGTTAGGGTGGCGCAAGGCTCGCGGTGGACAAAACATGAGTTGGTAGCGGGAAATGAAGACACTGACGACCAAAATGGGTGCTGTCGGTCCGTCTCGCCTTCCGGGCTGGAGTCCACGTGACCCGCCTTGCCCTTGGCTCGGAACGTTACAGGACTTGGCTCGTAGTCGACACGTGGCGCGTCTGCTGCCGTCTTCTAATCGGATTGCCTGTTTAAATTATGTTTGGTGCTGAGTTATCTGCGGGGTAATGGCTGATTATGACGCGGGGCAGTGATAGCCGCAAGGAAGCTGTCTTGCCGATGCCGCCAAATCTTTGCACGATGGCCAGCTGTTTGTGATGACATGTTGTTGACAGCATATAGGCGCTTTAACTCTAAATGTTTGCTTAGGGTGTTAAGTTTTTCCGGTAAGTCTTTCTTTTCTCCTAATTGTCCTTCGTTCCGTAGATCGTTCTAGTTGTATGACATCGATGCATCACTTCAAATGGCTGCTGTACTGCTATTGATGATGATGATTGCTAATGATGGTGAACGAGTCATGCCACCAATTTCAAATAGTGTAATGCGTCATCGAGTCGTTTCATAGAAATGGGTAAGGTGGGCGCGGAAATGGTGAAAGTCGAAAGATCTTTCCACTGCTGACGAATTCAGAGGCGAGGAAATTCGAGTGTCATTCCAACCAGCTGTGTTGTACAGCTACTTTTAGGTGATTATCCCTTCTTTTGGTTTTATGGCCAAACCTCAGAAGGTGGATGTATACATCCAAATCTGATATGTCAGAATGAAGTCCCGCCATAGCTTGCGGTAACTTCCACTGTACACTCCTAGGGCTTTCAGTCGTATTTGGTATGCCAGATAAAGCAATCTCGTTATATTTATGTTACCCTTCTCTTTGAGTTCTTGAATGAAGCCAGATAACGTTTATTTTCGGAGTTACTAGGCAATAATTGCGTACTCCACTTAAGGCCTCATATACCCGTTGAGCTTTTGCATAAAGATGGAAGTGTCGAACTTCTCGAATGCATTTCGTAGAAGACCAACGTGTTAGTTTCTAATTTGTGACATTTTCACAGCCTGCTTCGAACAGCAGTGAACCTCCTGAATCACTGCGTTAAAACCGCAATCCTGTGATACATTCTAAACGATGTGGTCTCCCAGCTTTTATGTGCTATTTGGTTGATGAGGTAGATGAACTACTTGGAATATATCCGCCTTAAACGGGAGGAAATTCCTTTTTGACCACCTGGAGGCACGATCCAGGCCTCGCTGCTACAGGCTGTGCCATTTCTGCTTACCGATTACCCGACATACGCTAGTATTATCAGGGAAAGCAAGAAATTAGATTCGGTGACACGCGCGAGATCGTCAATGGGGACCAGAAAATAATGCGATCTTAGCACAGATCTTTGTTTTGCACCGCATTCCACCTCAGTTAAATCTGATAATTTGCCCCAAAACTGACTCTGCCGCTGCCGCTGTGAAAGCTGCTTTCTGACCCAACCACGACATCGTTCCCAATTCTGTAAGGTGTCTGTTTATGAGGAAAAGTATGGTGATCCAGGTTGTCGAAAGCCTTGTATAGGTCGAGATAGATGACACCCGTTTTGGTCAAACTGTCTACCGTTTTAGTCTAAGTACTACGTAGAATCAGTAGACTGGTGGCAAATGAATGATATTGACGGTGCTATGACGTTTTATCTTTCTAAGTAACCCATCAGTGTCTCAGTCATTATCGATTCCATTAGCTTTGAGAGCACTGGGAGGGGGTCACTGGTTAGTAGTTTGCTATTTCTCAACAACTCTGCTTCAAAAAGCCATTTCGTTTTTTCCCAACATAGGATTTGATTGTATTTTTCATGGTCAACTTTACTTTTAAGCCGCATTATTTTATATTTTTACAGCTGATGTAGCTAGGCTTGCTCGTGAAAAAGCTCAATTGATTCCACTCAGTTTTTTGTTTGGTGCCCTTTCAAATATGCAGAGTAAAAGGCATCATGTTCGGCATATTTTACTTTTTTACTATCGAAAAGGTAAAAATGCTGTTCAAGCAAAAAAAAATTATCCCATGTCTATGGAGATGTGTTGACAGAACGCCAGTGCCAAAATTCGTTTAGAAAATTTCGATCTGGCATTAATTAATTAACTACTTGTAATACTTAATTAACTAACTGCATTTACTAGTTAATTACTTTAATTGACGCAAACCGGCGAATAACAACTCATAAGATCACTGGGAGATTAATTTTATCGAATTCGACTGTTCATGCTTATTTACAACGCCTAGGTTTCATCTTGAAGCTCGACATATGGGTTTCTCATGTTCTTACAGAAGGAATTTTGTGCCGTTGCGTTGACCTCTGTGTTTTGCGTCTTAAACATCAAGAAAATGATCCATTTTTGAAGCGCATCATCACTGGGGACGAGAAATTGTTTGTCTGCAACAGTTAAACGCAGAAGGTGATGGAGTAAAATTATGAACTGGCTGAAATCACTTCGAAAGCTGATATTCATCAGAAAAATATGGTACCATCTGTTTGATTGGATTTCAAAGGAATTGTTCATTTTGAGCTTCTGCCGGACAACACAACGATCAATTCTGAAGTGTACTGTCATCAGCTGGACAAATTGCATGCTTCACTTAAACAGGGAATACCAGAATAGATCAGTGAAAAAGCTGTAGTGTTCCGATAAGATAATGCGAGACGTCACATAAGTGTACTAGCTCGCCAAAAGCTTTTACAGGTTGGATGGGATGTACTACCACACCCACCATATTCTCCAGATCTGGCACCTACTGATGATTATTTGTTCCCGTCTTTACAAAATTTTTACATGATAAAACCTTTTTACCTCAAATGAGGAGGTCAGAAATCAGCTGCATCGGTTTTTGCCAGCGTGGAATCATGCTACTGCCAGAAAGATGGCAAGAAGTATTGGATCAGAATGGAGAGTATATAATTTAATAAAATATTCATTCACTATAAAAATTGTTTTACATTTTCATAGGAATCAGTTTCCAAACAACCAGATACAATGCTTAAAAATCTGGTTAACGATACCCGGCTTGTGCATGGTAGGGCCATATTGTTCATCTAAGCACCTTTAAGCCATCGCGTTAATTGCTCGCGTGCCCGCGTGGCGACAACTTGCAGCACTTTCGGGTGAGCGTTATAGAATTTGGGGGAACTTTGGGTACGTAACGATGTCAGCTTCCTCAATGTAACAAATGAATGTAGTTCATTCCTGGCATCTGAGGGATTAGGTCAGGTACATTACGCGAGCCGATGTAACCTCGGAGTATTGGAACGTATCGTAGCCGTAGCTCGTTGACTGCATCCTTTGCACTTCCCGTACGTCGGACTACTGAGCTGAGTGGGAAATGCAACGCTTCACTTTCCGGAAGCTGTTCGCATGTTCCTACAGCAGAAACTGCATTGCTACTGCGATTTATACTCGTACTTTGCTGCCGTACAACAATACTTACCCTACTAATATGAAGCGAAACGCGATGTAATATCTAAACCTCCCGAGCAAATATTCAGTCAATGCGCATACACCATTCCAACATTGAACGCTTACAGACTATTGGTTATTGCGGGAAAATAAGGCGGCATTTGTGAAACCGCTATCTTGTGGCTTTCTCTACGTCGTCTCATAACGAACCCTACTCCCACTGGCAACTCAACATTCTCGTAGAAAGTAGAAGCCACGGTTAAACTTCGCACATTAATCTGCGTCGACGGGGAATCGAACCCCGGTCCCACGGATTACCGGTCCGCTGCTCTACCACTGAGCTACCGAGGGCTGACGATCAGATGCACAATTTAATACATGACTTCTGCTTGGTGCGCGACGTATTACCAATGAGCTCACAGTAACTGTCCTTCTGTTGCAGATTGGCTCACTCACTCGTCACTTCCCAAGGGAGCAAAGTAACTGTCCTTTTGAAGTCCAAAGGGCGATGGTAGATTTATTTATATAC